GTTTTAATAAAATTTTAATAAATAATTTAATGTTTTTATAAATTTTAATGATAGTATAACAGATATGATCATAACTGCAATTCTCTGTGATGAGCATGTACATATTCGAGTTCTCTACTATATTTAAAACTAGAGATAGGCTTTTTTGCCTCTTCCCAAAGAATAATGGCCATTATTTTTGACGAAAACTGCAGCATCACTCTAACGTTGTTCATGGTCGGTAAACCGAACCAAAACCATTGTTTTTGGTTAATAAACCGAAATTCGGGTGTCGTAAACCGGTCAAAAAAGAAAAGCGTGGGTCTGGTTAATAACATGTAGTGTACAGAGGTGTTTCGAAATTTCGATTTTCGATTTTCGTTTTTCGATTTTCGAGGTTTTTTCCTTTCGATTTTTGATTTCCGATTTTCGAAATTTTGTGATATTTTTGATTTTCGATTTCCGAATTTTTGAAAAAATTTGAATTTTTGGCGCCAAAAATGAAGAATTCTGGCTTATCGGCCATCATAAATTTTAAAAATTTTCGCCTGCGGCGCAGAAAATGGAAGACTTTTGGCTTAAGGATGCTCCAAAATTTTAAAAATTTTCGCCTGCGGCGCTAATTGGAGGAAGCCCTGATCTATTAACAATATTATGCTTCGGCTCCGGTTATTGGGTATTTGCTTGAATTAAGGTAGCTCAAGTATATTGGAGGATTTGCGTGAATTAAGGTGGATTTGGAAGCCCCCTTCCCCATGCCAGAACCTTATGCCAGGTACTTTCCACTCATGAGTAAAGCGACCGAGCTCTGCTCTACTATATTCAGGGATTTTTACTCAAATCCTCCATTATCCCTCTTAATCCACACAGATCTCATGATGAGAGATCCACTTGAAACCTAACATAACAAAAATTAATTGTCAAATTTTTTTATGAAAAAAATTTTTTTCGATTTTCGTTTTTCGATTTCCGATTTTCGAGGTTATTTTTCTTTCGATTTTCGATTTCGAAGATTTTGAAAATATTTTCGATTTCGATATTTTTGGATTTCTTTCGATTTCCGATTTTCGAAGATTTTTTTGTTTCGAAACACCTCTGGTAGTGTATTGAACAACCCTACTTTACTCCTTTTTCCTTATAGAGGAAGATGGAGGAAGCGAAGAAAAGGAAAATGTGTGGGAGATAATTTATATTCCCGCATTATCTAAAGCATTGTTTAATTGACTGATAATATTCAGTCATACAAAAATAATAAGTGGCTTCATCGTTGGTCAGGTAATATTTCGATTATCTTCTTGCTTTTAATAAAAGTTTAATGTATAATTAAATATTAAGCTTTCTTATATTTAATTTGGTGGTTAAATGGTTTTGTTAGAAAGCACAGCCATGTGAGGAATAAAAAATTAAATCACCTTTGAAGTTGAGAGATTCCCGTTTGGAGGTTTTTCGATAAAAACATAGTAGCATTTCTCTTTTCAAAACTTCGCATTGAAAACCCCATTGTGTATTATTTGAAAAAGATTATCTGGGCATTTGATTAGGAACCTGATTTTAAAAAATTGGCAAGGATTTCTGACAAAACTAACCTCTGACGAGACTACCGGACACTCACGAGGCTCGACTCGAAGAAGAATTTCAGGAAAATGTCTCAAAAGCCAAAAATCAGAATTTTGATTCACCTCTGCTTGGTATTCATAAAAAAAGTAAGAATTATCCTTAATTTTCTTCCATCCTCACTTTTGGGAGTGAGTGCGATCGGTCAAGTAATTTTCATTTAAGTCCAGTTATTAGTTCAAAAGGTTATTTAAAATTGAGTCGTATATAAAACTATCTCCTCCCAAAACTCTCTAATGGCTCTTGGAAACTAGAAATTTATTTTTTTAAATTAGTTGTGAACAATGTCAAGCTTCCAAAAAATAAAAAGCACTATTGGGAGTCTCACTCTATTGTCAGAAAACTTTCTTAAATTGTTTAAATCAAAATTAAAAATTTAATATTAAATAAGAGGAGGTCAACTGGAGCGTTTTGTTTTATTGCCGCTGAATAATTTGCCGGTTATCAAACAAAGAATTTTTTGACTTACAGAAAGGAATTATTATTAGTTCTACTCTTATTTTTAATTTGCCTTTTGAAGAGAATAGTTGACCTAGAAATTTCATTTTATTTTGTGCCGTTAGTTCATTCTTTATTTTTTCAACAAAAACTCATTTTATCTGTTAAAGGCAGGGCAGAACGCAGTCTTTTAAATAGGATAGAATCCCTATTTAACTATTTGATTAGGACAGAAAATTGCATTAATTATCCGGGGCTAGGCTATAACCGAGTCTGTCCTTTTCGCTTAACCCCAGGGCCCGTAGAATAAGAACTCGGTCACCTGACGGGCCCGTAGAATAAATTTGGGGTAAGGGGTATTTAACCCCTACCTTGGGGTTAAATAACACGTAACCCGCAGAATAAATTCAAACCCATAGCTTCGGGTTAAATGACCGGGTCAGATAACTCGGTTATCTGACCCGCGTAACCTTCCCGGTAGAATAAATTAATTACCCGGGTTAAATAACCCGCAGGTTATTTAACCCGGGGTTATTTAACTCTGGGTTGAATTTATTCTACCGATTTTTACACGTAGCTAACAAAGGAGAGCCTTTTGGGTGTCCGTGGGACTTCGGGATGAAATTTGGTAGAGAGGTAGAGTATACCCTTTCTATTGTAAATCTTGAACCATTTTCGCTGCGGGGTACCAGGGACCGAGTTATAAGCCCCCAAAGTTTTAGGGTCACCCACATATAAACAATTTCTATCTAGTCATAAATGTGCTCAGCGGTGGTGCAGTGGTAACGTTCTCGCATATAGTTTTTTCCCGCAAGGTTCGAGTCCTTATTTGAAAAATTAATTTATTTTAATTAATTTTTGATTTTTATCCAATGTTTTTTGTCAAAAAAATTTTTAAAAACTTTTGTGATATTTTTAAATATTTACTTTTTCCCTTTATTCATTAATAGGGTGTTCCAGAAAAAGCCTTGTTATTCCTTCCTTTATAAGATTTTCAAAAAATTTTTAAAAATTTTCAAAAAAAAATTAGAACATTTTTAAAAAATGTTAAAAAAACAAAATTTTCAGAAACAAAAGTGAAAATTTTGTTAAAATAAATTAATTTGCTCAATTAATTTGCGAACTTTTAGGAAAAAAGGAAATTCAAGAACTCTACCGCTGCACCACCGCAGAACACATTTGTAAATAAAAATAAATTGTTTATATGTAAAAAAGAAAAATGAGGGGGATCCTAAAACTTTGGGGGCTTATAACTCGGTCCCTGGTACCCCGCAGCGAAAATGGTTCAAGATTTACAATAGAAAGGGTATACTCTACCTCTCTACCAAATTTCATCCCGAAGTCCCGCGGACACCCAAAAGGCTCTCCTTTGTAAGGGTTATTTGCCCCTGGGTTATTTAACCGGGTTATCCAACCCCGAATTTATTCTACGGGCCACGATTTATTCTACGGGCCACGATTTACTCCATTTTAAAAAAAGTTATGATTTTTTTCCTAAATAGGGACAAACAAGAAAAACGGTGACGCCAAACCCGCGGCGTAGGGTCACCTTGGCGCTGCCGCTACGATGGTTACCTAACCATCGTCTTATTTTACGGACCCAGGTCATGGTCAACCTTACGACCGTCTTATTCTACCGGTCAAAACCGCCGGTTGGTGGTTACCTAACCAGCAACCGTGTTCTTATTCTACGGGCCCAGCTTGGGGAACCCCACTTTAACTATGCTAAAAGAGTGTGGGTCAAGTAAACTAATTAATCTTGGCAACAGCTAAGACTTCCAAAAATTAATAATTGCCTTCGGAGAAATTGAAGTCTATTAAATCATTCTTTTTGAAGTATTTATTAATTAATTAAGTTTTTAATTAATATGAAGTAAATCTATTTTATTAAAGATAGGGTCAAGGACTAGAGACAGCACTGATTTGTGAGAGAGACATAATAGAATCAAGTTTAATATTTCGAACAAACTCGATATCAGAGTGTTGTGTTCGAGAGCTGGAAACCTTACAGCTTCCATCCTTAAGTTAACATATTAATCTTAGTAGCAACTAAGACTCCAAAAATTATAGATGGTGATCTCCAGTTCAAAACTAATTTGAGGTTCCCTTCATCAATATTTAACATTAATTAAATTTTTTATTTAATATTAAGCATTACTAAAAAATTTTTTATTTTAGAAATTTGAAAAATTGGCGTTTGATGCACTACGTGAAAATATTGGCGTATATCTTGTTCCTCGATTAAAAAATCTTTTTTATTTTCAACTCAATTATAATTTTAAATTAATTTTAGATTTTAAAATATTTTTTATTACACCATCTAAAATTAAAATTTTCATCAAATGGCATTGAAACGAATTCATAAGGTTGGTTTTTAAGTATAACAATAATTATCCCCATAAGTAGGCAAAATTGAAATTTCCTTATGGCATAAAAACAATGCTCTGCATTTTAGAACCTAACTATGTGTGGTATCACGACTTTTGCGCCGAGAACATTTGCGCCGCGACTTATGCGCCGCGACTTTTGCGCCGGGCGACTTTTGCGCCGCGACTCTTGCGCCGCGTCTTTTGCGCCGGGCGACTTATGCGCCGCGACATTTGCGCCGCCATTGTTTAAAAAATCCGGATCCGAAAAATGCCGGATATCCTAAATTTTCAGTTCGGATATCAGATCCGAAGATTTCCAACTATTCGACAACCCTACTAAAGTGAGGTCCGGCTGTAGTTATTGATATATTTTTAATGATAGTGGCGGCGCAAAAGTCGCCCGGCGCAAAAGTCGCGGCGCAAAAGTGCCCCGGCGCAAAAGTCGCTCGGCGCATAAGTCGCGGCGCAAATGTTCTCGGCGCAAAAGTCACGGAACCCTATGTGTGAGTGGAGCTTTCTATTCTTAAAAAATTTAAGACTAGTTCCCAGTCTGAGACGAGATCTCAAATAAGGCTCTCGATTAACCAACCTTACTCTACTATGGCTATAAGTACCAGTACTACAATTTTCTCTCTCTATTTGTAATCTTCTCTACTACCCAGAGTTACCTTACACTCGCACAATACCGGACCAGTGGTTCTAAAACGTAGAACTGGTATTTATGGCCATAGAGTAGAGGTGTTAACACATTTTAGTCTGCCATATTTATTAATTTGAAGAAGAAAAAAGGAGATAGGAGTATGAACTTGAGTTGATCCGAAGAAATTTTTTTCATTTTTCAGGAGCTTGTCGACTTTGGAAAAGAACCTCCAGCTTTGTGTAATGCAGGCCCAGTCGGGGAGGACCTCTGGAATTGGCAAGCAACCATTACTGGGCCTCCAAACTCGCCTTATCAAGGAGGAGTGTTTTACTTAAAAATTAACTTCCCCCAAGATTATCCATTTAAACCGCCACAGATTAGCTTCAAAACACCGATTTACCATCCAAATATTAACAACGAGGGATGCATTTGTTTGGACATTCTTCAGCATAAATGGACGCCGGCTTTGACTATTTCTAAAGGTAATTGTGGGAACGAGGGAATCCGTGTCAGTCAAAACAAGGTCCCTTCGGGAGGGATACTGCAAATAAGTTTAATGAGAATTTTTACGTGTATAGATGGTTCATTATTGGACGTTTTGTTGCCCCTCACCCAGCTTTTTAACAAGGAATTTAAATAGGGCTTAGAGCAAACATAGGCCTAAGCATTGCTTGGCTGGCAAAAAATGAAACTACTTGGAAAAGCTTACTACATGACTTGTTGTTTAATTAACGCATAAATCAAAATTTATATAAATCAATTAATATTGTGTAATTATGTCTAAATTAAATCTAACTATTATCTACAAGGTACTTGTTATTTTATTAATTTTAGAGTAAATTTAGTTCAGGATTAGTAAAATAAGTATTGTATATTTTTTTGTTTCTATAGATATTTTTGTAAGCCAAGCAATGCTTAGGCTAAAATTTTTCACATCAATACTGAGCATGTACTTTATCTTATTCCACGAAGCAGCAGCGACAAACTTAGATGTTGATATTCCCTGATTGACATTTGAGTTGATGTCGTTCGTAAAGCATCTTATAGCAGGATTTTTTTCTTGACACGGATTCATGCCTCCCTTTTCCAAAAATTTTTTTTAATTTTTCATGTTAAAAAACTCCACAAAAAAAGATTTTAAAAATAATCTTCATCGACCTATCAAAAAATTCCACCCCTATTTTGTCTCAATTCCACCCCAAAAACAGGAAAGATCCGCAAATATCGAAGCCACGTGAATAACTTACAGTCAACTCACAATTTTTTACAAAATATTTCTTATTTTAATTTTCAGTTTTGCTTTCAATCTGCTCTCTTTTCGACGATCCAAACCCAAAAAGTCCGTTGAATCGGGAAGCTGCCGATTTATACGTAAGAGATCGTGCTGCCTACAAGGTTAAGGTCCGTGAATGGACGCAGAAATATGCAATGTAATTGCCTCTGATGGAGGAAAATAAAATTAATTTTTTTAACGGAATGATATGATAAGATGATAAAATTTTCTTTTTTTGAAAATTAAAATAATTTTTTTTCAACCCGAAACAATAAATTTGAATTTTTTGTGAATATTTTATCTGTACTTATCGGTAGGTCTCATAAAACGTTTTGTTTGTGTTAGTTTGAAATTTTAAAGATCTAGATATTAAATATAATTTCTCTAGCACTTCATGCCACATAGGCATAAAGAATCGGCAAAAGAATCTAACGCGCCTTTAGGCAGTCACTTTACTATGACTACTACCGACACGTATTGAATAAACAAACTTTGATATTTTTTAGGATTTTCGGTAGCTGGTACCGAAAAAACTTTCGGCGCTATTAGCCAACGATTAAACTTTCAATTATTAGCTGAATGATCTTCAGCTTCCAAAAAATTAAACCAAAAAGAAGACTCAATTTCAAAAAATTAATCACAAGCAAAACTGATGAAACTGGCTAAATTTATTAAAATCGAATTTTAAAATCCAACAACTTTATTATAAATATTAAGCAATCCTATATATAATTTGTGAATCAGTGGAAATTGTTTGTTTGAGTGTTTGTCACACGGCTACTGCTTTTATAGTAAAATGATTTGGGGAGTGAGGAAATTGGGGCTTTTATAGTAAAGCTCTGCAGCTTGAATTAAGTTATGGCTTGAGAAGTTAGTATAAAAGCAGGCTATTTTGTTCATTCTTCAGCTGCTACCAACATGAACTCTACTGTATCTGTTCTACATGCTGGAGTCCTGTGTGTCATTACTAGGAGTCAACGTACATGTTCCAAGTGATAGGAGTATATTGAAACAGGCGGGATTATGAAACACGTTGAATATTAAGCAGGCGGAAGTGTGAAGCAGGCGGAATTGTGAAGCAGGTGGAATATTGAAACAGGGAAATTATGAAGCAGGCGGAATATTGAAACAGGGGAATTATGAAGCAGGCGGAAGTGTGAAGCAAGCGGAATTGTGAAGCAGGCGGAATATTGAAACAGGGGAATTTGTGAAGCAGGCGGAATATTGAAACAGGGGAATTATGAGGCAGGCGGAAGTGTGAAGAAGGCGTAATTGTGAAGCAGGTGGAATATTGAAACAGGGGAATTATGAAGCAGGCGGAATATTGAAACAGGGGAATTATGAAGCAGGCGGAAGTGTGAAGCAAGCGGAATTGTGAAGCAGGCGGAATATTGAAACAGGGAAATTATGAAGCAGGCGGAATATTGAAACAGGGGAATTATGAAGCAGGCGGAATATTGAAACAGGGGAATTATGAAGCAGGCGGAAGTGTGAAGCAAGCGGAATTGTGAAGCAGGCGGAATATTGAAACAGGGGAATTATGAAGCAGGCGGAAGTGTGAAGCAAGCGGAATTGTGAAGCAGGCGGAATATTGAAACAGGGGAATTTGTGAAGCAGGCGGAATATTGAAACAGGGGAATTATGAGGCAGGCGGAAGTGTGAAGAAGGCGTAATTGTGAAGCAGGTGGAATATTGAAACAGGGGAATTATGAAGCAGGCGGAATATTGAAACAGGGGAATTATGAAGCAGGCGGAAGTGTGAAGCAAGCGGAATTGTGAAGCAGGCGGAATATTGAAACAGGGGAATTTGTGAAGCAGGCGGAATATTGAAACAGGGGAATTATGAGGCAGGCGGAAGTGTGAAGAAGGCGTAATTGTGAAGCAGGTGGAATATTGAAACAGGGAAATTATGAACAGGCGGAATATTGAAACAGGGGAATTATGAAGCAGGCGGAAGTGTGAAGCAAGCGGAATTGTGAAGCAGGCGGAATATTGAAACAGGGGAAATTGTGAAGCAGGCGGAAGTGTGAAGCAGTCGGAATATTTAAACAGGGGAATTTGTGAAGCAGGCGGAATATTGAAACAGGGGAATTATGAGGCAGGCGGAATATTGAAACAGGGAAATTATGAAGCAGGCGGAATATTAAAACAGGGGAATTATGAAGCAGGCGGAAGTGTGAAGCAAGCGGAATTGTGAAGCAGGCGGAATATTGAAACAGGGGAATTATGAAGCAGGCGTAAGTGTGAAGCAGGCGGAATTGTGAAGCAGGCGGAATATTTAAACAGGGGAAATTGTGAAGCAGGCGGAATATTGAAACAGGGGAATTATGAAGCAGGCGGAATATTGAAACAGGGAAATTATGAAGCAGGCGGAATATTGAAACAGGGGAATTATGAAGCAGGCGGAAGTGTGAAGCAAGCGGAATTGTGAAGCAGGCGGAATATTGAAACAGGGGAATTATGAAGCAGGCGTAAGTGTGAAGCAGGCGGAATTGTGAAGCAGGCGGAATATTTAAACAGGGGAAATTGTGAACAGGCGGAATATTGAAACAGGGGAATTATGAAGCAGGCGTAAGTGTGAAGCAGGCGGAATTGTGAAGCAGGCGGAATATTTAAACAGGGGAAATTGTGAAGCAGGCGGAATATTGAAACAGGGGAATTATGAAGCAGGCGGAATATTGAAACAGGGAAATTATGAAGCAGGCGGAATTTTGAAACAGGGGAATTATGAAGCAGGCGGAAGTGTGAAGCAGGCGGAATTGTGAAGCAGGCGGAATATTTAAACAGGGGAAATTGTGAAGCAGGCGGAATATTGAAACAGGGGAATTATGAAGCAGGCGTAAGTGTGAAGCAGGCGGAATTGTGAAGCAGGCGGAATATTTAAACAGGGGAAATTGTGAAGCAGGCGGAATATTGAAACAGGGGAATTATGAAGCAGGCGTAAGTGTGAAGCAGGCGGAATTGTGAAGCAGGCGGAATATTGAAACAGGGGAATTATGAAGCAGGCGTAAGTGTGAAGCAGGCGGAATATTTAAACAGGGGAAATTGTGAAGCAGGCGGAATATTGAAACAGGGGAATTATGAAGAAGGCGTAAGTGTGAAGCAGGCGGAATTGTGAAGCAGGCGGAATATTTAAACAGGGGAAATTGTGAAGCAGGCGGAATATTGAAACAGGGGAATTATGAAGCAGGCGTAAGTGTGAAGCAGGCGGAATTGTGAAGCAGGCAGAATATTTAAACAGGGGAAATTGTGAAGCAGGCGGAATATTGAAACAGGGGAATTATGAAGCAGGCGTAAGTGTGAAGCAGGCGGAATTGTGAAGCAGGCGGAATATTTAAACAGGGGAAATTGTGAAGCAGGCGGAATATTGAAACAGGGGAATTATGAAGCAGGCGTAAGTGTGAAGCAGGCGGAATTGTGAAGCAGGCGGAATATTGAAACAGGGGAATTATGAAGCAGGCGTAAGTGTGAAGCAGGCGGAATTGTGAAGCAGGCGGAATATTTAAACAGGGGAAATTGTGAAGCAGGCGGAATATTGAAACAGGGGAATTATGAAGCAGGCGGAATATTGAAACAGGGAAATTATGAAGCAGGCGGAATATTGAAACAGGGGAATTATGAAGCAGGCGGAAGTGTGAAGCAAGCGGAATTGTGAAGCAGGCGGAATATTGAAACAGGGGAATTATGAAGCAGGCGTAAGTGTGAAGCAGGCGGAATTGTGAAGCAGGCGGAATATTTAAACAGGGGAATTATGAAGCAGGCGTAAGTGTGAAGCAGGCGGAATTGTGAAGCAGGCGGAATATTTAAACAGGGGAAATTGTGAAGCAGGCGGAATATTGAAACAGGGGAATTATGAAGCAGGCGGAATATTGAAACAGGGAAATTATGAAGCAGGCGGAATATTGAAACAGGGGAATTATGAAGCAGGCGGAAGTGTGAAGCAAGCGGAATTGTGAAGCAGGCGGAATATTGAAACAGGGGAATTATGAAGCAGGCGTAAGTGTGAAGCAGGCGGAATTGTGAAGCAGGCGGAATATTTAAACAGGGGAAATTGTGAACAGGCGGAATATTGAAACAGGGGAATTATGAAGCAGGCGTAAGTGTGAAGCAGGCGGAATTGTGAAGCAGGCGGAATATTTAAACAGGGGAAATTGTGAAGCAGGCGGAATATTGAAACAGGGGAATTATGAAGCAGGCGGAATATTGAAACAGGGAAATTATGAAGCAGGCGGAATTTTGAAACAGGGGAATTATGAAGCAGGCGGAAGTGTGAAGCAGGCGGAATTGTGAAGCAGGCGGAATATTTAAACAGGGGAAATTGTGAAGCAGGCGGAATATTGAAACAGGGGAATTATGAAGCAGGCGTA